TGAGCCGCCAGGTATGATCACAGAAGCGACGCAGCGCGCAAGGCGCAGTCGCTGCAACAACGGCCGCGCAGGCAATTCGAAGCGAAGAAGAATACCCGTAGTGGTGGTAGCAATCTTTGCCCTTCAACTTGCGTCTTCTTCCATGTCGCGCGCGCTTTCATTACGGCTGCCGCTGCCGCTGCTGCTACGCTTACCTGGTTGGCTCACCGCACAGCGCAACCACCAACCAACGAGCAAACTGCTCAAACTGTTCGTTCGCTTGCTCGCCTCTGTCCGAACACAACCACGCGTCCAACGTTGTTCACAGTTATGTATGTATGCATGTGTCCCTCACTCTACCTCTATACGCTAGCGCGCCATTTCAAGTTCGAACGCGCTGAGCGCACTGGTGTTTTTTCATCTACTGTCATACGCACCAGAAGCACGGCGAGCTTCTAGAACCGCTACGTTAACGCCTCTGTCGTCTATGTCGCACAGTGTTGCATGTTTTCAATCTACATAGCTTATTTCAGCGGCTCTACACTTCCTCAGCGTCAACGCGTAACTTTCAGGAAGTATAAGCGTGACGTACTCTGTTCGCAGACCGCGCTACATTGATACGCGCGCTGTGCTGTGTCGCTTTTGGCGGAAGGGCGCAAATATGCCGGAAGTGACTGTGTTTGTTGGTAGTGTTAGTGGTTGTTTGGCTGGTGGGTTGCGCTTGCTGTCGTGCGCTCTTGGGCGGGTGGTGCATAAGAAGATAACTGGAGCAGGAAGTGCATGTCTGACGGCAGGAAAAAGCTACATTCGCTTTTGATGTATGATTTTTGCGTACACTCACACACATGCAATGTCTGCGTTGTAGGCTATGTATTTCCATATGAATTTTTTTTACAACTGTGCATTTAGGCTCACATACATAACAAGCGTGGGAATCGATTCAGCTTTAGCTAACTGATTCATATTATTTTTTTTTGCAATAAAAGTTTCTGTGTATAGTCTTATTTGTTATCTATTATCTATTATCTGCGCATATTAAATGATACATATTTATTTGTCGCATAGCTTCACATGAAACTAGAACTTGGGCTATCTTATATTGGCTCTGTCTTTAATATAAACGCCATTTTAAATACAATCTTTGACTGTTTAGAAATGAATTGTTTGCGAAGCCTGTGAAAATAATCCTATTGCAGTTATTTCTTGACAATCTGCAGACCCCTTCTGCACCTAAATAGTTCCTCTAATTGGAAATCGTTAACAAAATTAGGTAGACACAGTCAGAGAGAGGTTCCTAGTATATAGCTGAACACCTCTGTATATGTAGATAGAGTCCTTCTTGTTTGCTCTGCGTGGCCGTCACAACATTTCTACCAGGAAGGAAGCCTCACCACATAGTGTTCAGAGTCATTTCGGTTGTTCCATAGGTCATTTGTTACGGCAGTGGTATACTCATAGATTTTCCTCAGTGGATCACAAATCAGTAATTCTAGTGAGTTATGTGCCTAACGACTATTTCGTTCCACTCGATATTGCGTTGTCCAAGAATCCAAAAGAGTGACGTTGACATAACCCATTTTCAGTGATGGTAGTGACGCATTTGTAGACAATCTCGATTTCTATTCCATATTAGACAAACGGTCATATCTATGGTAAAGATCTTCACGTGAAAGACACAGCAGTCATCTGGGCAGCGATATGATTGCCTGATCTGCAGGTTCATTGAATAGAGATCCTACATAATTTATATTCACTCAAGTTCGCTGGGTAGCCATCTACGGTCCGCCTTTACAATTGCAAAAGTAAGAATGTCTTTTGCGGCTACCGCAGTTATGAAGACTTGTTGTGACTTTAAACAAAAAATCAAATGCAACACTTCTTGCAGGGACCGTAACAGTTACAACTTTTGTTAAAAAAAAACCGCTCTTTAACAATTACTATTTGACTTTTATTTAATTAATCTTTAAATAACCGTTATTTCTGACTTTAATTTTATATATATAAAAAAAAAACAATTAGTTTTGATTTTTATCTAAATAATCTGCAAATAACAGTTATCTTTTTATTTTAAAATTATATGTCTTACACAAGAGTTAACGAAGACTTTTATTTATAAAAATCATCAATATAAATCAGTTACTGACCTTTATTTTTTAAATAATATTTATAAGTCATTTGTATAGGTCGTAGACGACTTTCACAAGAATGATTTAAAAAATAAAAGTCGGTGACTGATTTTAATTGATGACTTTTATAAATAAGTCTTTAATAACTGTTATCTCTGACATATATTATAAGAATCAAAAATAATTGTTATTTTTTTGAGTTTTGCATTTACAATATAAAAATCAAAAATAATTGTTATTTTTTTTAATTTTGCATAAAAATTGCAAATAAAAATTTATTTTCTAATTCCAATTTATTGAAATTTTTCTGACAGTTTTCATCAATAACTGTTATGTTCGGCCCCTGACTTTTTGGGTCAGTTAGAGTTTTGAGTATATGCCAGAAGCATTAAACCGGGCTAAGCTTGTCGGAGATAGGACTAAGTTTTTAACAGGATATAAACATTAAAAAAAAAGGTTATCTAAGTCCTCCGTTATCTAGGCGAATGTTGAAGGGAAGTTACAGAATATGACTGACAAGAGTGTCATCAAAATTTATGTAGCCTAAGGCGTCTACTGTAAGAAACACCTTCCGCGAATGGTAGCCTTTTCCCTCCTATGTTTCGGCAACTTCAAATAAGCTAAGGAAACCCAGATTTTTGGTCAATTTTGCACGTTCAGAAAGCCAATCGATCTGATTTCGATTTATTTAAAACTAAATTGGTTCAGGATTGTGAATATATGTATTAATTTAGAGTCGAGATTGTATATAGGTATTTCTACAACTGTAGCACCAATAAAGTTCGATTAGTAATGCAACGACGACATGGAAAAGCTCACTGATTAAGTTAAAGAAACGGAATTATGGTACTGTTGGAAATAAACTATTGAACAACATAAGAAATTTTACAAATGTTTCTTAGGGTACGTTCATACAGAAAGCCGAGCCGTGCCGAGCGTAAAAAGGCAGAGCAAAGTTAAGCTGTTGCTGTTCACACTGAACGAATCACAAAAGTTACCTTCAATGAAAAGCGGCTAAAATATTTGTTCAATTTGCTGCAACTGCTTTCTCTAAAAATACATTTTCATTTATTTATTTTAATTTTTTATTCACATTAGCGTCAAGAGGCGGAAAATCAAATAGAAAATTTAAAATCAACAAATTCTTTGCTTTCAGCTTCTGAAAAAGCTTGCTGTATGGATACTTCTGAAAGCTCCGCTAAGCTCGGAAGGGGTTCGCTCTGCTCGGCTCTGCTTCCTTTGTGAACGTACCATTAGAGATTATGTAACGAAAGTCTTACGTTGAATATAGATAAATATAATTCTGGAAAATTGATTTTTAAGTAGTTAGAATATGTGTCTGCAAACTAAACAAGGGTTAGGAAAAACTAGAGATGTTTAAACGAAGCGAAGTTATTCAAAAGTAACAGTTTCGCTAAGGCAGTTAAGGGAACCGAAGAAGCACCCTATCATGGTTTTGAATCAAACAACCTTCATTGTCACATCCTTATCATTTTAAACCGCATTCACACCATTCGCGTGCTACCTGTTATCAATTGGTTCGAAGAAAGACAAATTCCCAGCACAAGTTAAGCGCCCACGCTACTTGAAAAATAAAAACAAAAACAACTAGCCCTCCAGCAGAAAACTTCAAACTTGTTCGAACACAACCACAAAGCTGAAGCAACATATGCGCAAGAGCTCGTTTTGAATGCCAATAAAATAATACAAGCAAAATCCATAAACTGCTGATCGAGTATGATCGTAAACGATATTCCGCGCAGGGTCGCTGGTGGTGGCTTTTTCATGCCGATGGCTAACGAACTGCAAAGCTACGTGAAAAAGTATGAGAGTGCACGTTTTTGTGTGCGCCAATACAGCAGCTCGTTTGCGAAAAAGGGATAGATAGAGTGAGCAATGAATTTAACTGTAATTTGCGCAGAAGCAAGAGCGAGGCAACAATATACAACGAATGGGACGCACATGCATACCAGTGTCGAAATTCAATGCATGGCTAAACACACAAGCGAACATGCACACACACACACACAAATGTAACCAGGTGTAATAGAGTAAATCAACATAGATATCACAAGCGCGATGGATACCTGAATGAATGAATGGGCTCAAATTTGCTGAGGCATCAAACCCGTTGTGGAACGCCGTTGGCAGTTGGAAACAACACATGGTTTGTATAACAGTTGAGCACAGGGTACACAGGCGAAATATCGCGCACACACACACTCGCACTTACAAGTCTCACACACCCATGCCGTGCCATGACCGTATAACAGTTACGACGATCGCATTGCAGGCCGCAGGCCCGTCAGCCAATAGAACGCTTCGACGCATGCATAGCGGACACTAATACCAATGCCTCATTGACGCATGCGCACATTACACAAACACAGCTGCCGATGGTCGGACCAATTGCAAGCATTGGCGCAGTTGTTAGACGATAGACAAATAGTATTAGGTAGCGGGCAGCTCAAGGGGGAGAGCGTCCATATTTTGACAAGGCAAAGCGGCCACAATGGACGTTGGCGAAGGCAAAGCTTTGGCTGGCGCGCGCAAAAAAACAAAAAGGAGCGCGTTTACTAGCGCAATGGCTTAGGGGTGGTGAAATAGGTGAATTTAAAAACGCGAGCGCGCACACGCGGCTCTATGATGAAAATAATGCGTGCGCGTAACGCACTTTTTGCCATTCAGTCACACATCTTGCCTAGCGGACAACTGATGCACTCTCACTTCAACAATAACAAAATAGAGAGAAATACGACTATTGACAAAAAACAAATTGAAGAAGCGAATACAAATTCAATTGAAAGCCAACAGACAGCGCGCGCCCAATTGCAACTCCTTTTGAAAAGGGGGAACATCTGCTTTGGAATCGATCGCTGCTGCGCGCTCACTCACCTTCGTGTCGCCGTGTTGCTGTTGCTGATGATGTGCCGCACCATTGCCCGCGCCACCATTTGTAATGAGGTTTGTCGCATCGACGATGGTGCTGCTAACGCCACTTTTCGGTTCCTTGCGTAGATCTTCCGGTTCGCGTTTGATGCTGATCGTCTGTTGAGCTTGTTGCTGGGCCAGACGTTGCTGTTCGGCGGTAACCACCACAGCTGTAGTGGCGCCACCAGCTGCCGCGGCTGCGGCTGTGGCGGCTGCCACAATGGCCGAATGCTGTGAGATGGACGTTGGTGTTGTGGATGCGTTGCCGCTGCCGCCGCCAGCCGATGGGTGTGAACCAAGCAATAGGCCTTGGAATTCATTTTGCGATAGGCCGGATACGTCCAGAGGTGTGGTTTGACCATTTAACTTGTTGTTGGCCCCAGTTGTGGTGCTGCAAGGAAATTGAAGAAAAAAAAAATGAAAGAGTAAATTAGAAAACAGTAATGGTGATTAGCGAAAGAGAAAAGAAAAACAAAATTATAAATAATCTGAATAAAACAAAATATGCAGTGGACGACTTCTTCTTTCAGCTGCCCGCTCAACTCTTTTACCTTCTTGACAAGTCATTGCATGTTGCAGCAACGGCTGCATGCACGACAAATTGACAATTGGCTGTTGCAATCAACGCGCGCGAAAAAAGTGTAGTTGAAGCAATGCTTTTTTGCTGCTGATAACAATTTTCAATTTGCATGTGGCAAATGTTTTGTGACTTGTGCCTCAAGGTAGATGCCCGACTGTAGGCTTTCGTTGCGGCAAGTTGTTTTGCGGTTAGTCGCGGACATGTTCGGGTGCAACAACACGAGCGTAATGATGACGACGCGTGCGCCAAATTGCTAGCAAATTAGCGCATTTGTAATGGTTACAGCAATCAGCAGTGCTCGGTAATCGATTATGAAGAGACAAACGCAAATTTTTGTATGTACTATATTTGTGAGGTTACAAAATATTTCAAGAAGATACATTTTTTTTTTAAAGAAATAATCATTCAATAAACTTTTGAGATCATAGCAAGAGGAACCCCCTAAGAAACTAACCAACTTATTTGAGATCTTTTGTGTTTGCACGACTGTTCGGCTTCGCGACTCTAAACAATAACAAAACTTTAGGTGACTCCTGTTCAGATTGATAAAATTGATCAAGTTGCAATAGTCGGAAGATACGCCTAGACTGTGCTGCAACATCTATTGTAACCACTCTTGCTGAACCAACCTTAATCCCATCTGTCGACGAACAGTCTACGGGCGGCCACAAGTACTCGTATACCCTCTTCTCTGTTAGTGGAAATAACCCCCTTGTATATTATGGTGTCCCGTGAAAAAATTTTTTTGAGCTACACTATCGCAAGAGGTATCGAAATTTGCGTAATTTTACACATGTTAAGAAAAAGATAAAAATGTCAGAATTGTGTGTCATTTTGAGGGCTCTACCACGCCATGAGGTTTTCCACGTATTTTATATGAGAAAAAATACTTATTCGTAGAAATAGAGATAAAATCCTTAAAAGTCAATATTTTTCAATTTGTAAACTCTTTTTCTCTTTAGGAGACTTCAAAGAATAATACCTAATTGTTTACTTAACGATTTTTTTATACCTACTAACTACATAATAATTAAATAAAAAAATCATTAATATTAAAAAAAATTTCGATTCCTCTTGCGATAGTGTAGCTCAAAAAAATTTTTTGACGGGACACCCTATTGTATAGTCAATTCATCAGCGATGCGTTTTCTTGAAAAGTCACTGTGCCTTTAATAAACTTTTCACTCTAATTTCAATCGTCTTTAAACCAAACACTTCTTACTACACGAATACATAAAGTGAGTCAGTGAAAATCGTACAGTATTTTTTTTTTTCTTTTTTGGAAAATAATTTGTTTTATTTAAATTTTATTAATTTTGAATTAAAATATAGTTCACACTGCAAACAAATGAAACTTAACGTTTCTAACTTTGTAACAATTAAAAAACATAAACAACTTTTCAACAAAATTTCGCACTTTTTATTCAGAATTTTAAGATTTTTGTAGAAGACGGAAATCTTCTAACACACGTCCAAAGCATACTTGAGATTTGGATAAGATAACTTCCAAATGCTTTATAACGGAAACAATTTTGGCAAAGCAAAAGGAACGGCAATACGTAGAAGCCAAGATGAGAACAGCAAGAAGGTGGCTGAAAAATTAAAAGACCTTCAAAGCCGGCGGTAAACCGTATACCGGCGGTAAAAATTATGGTCGGATATGTAACTGAACGAAGATTTCAAATTCTAATCAATAAAAACGGATATCCTGCTGTTTGCCCAAACTACCATGGAATTAAGCCTTTAAGGGGCCAGACATATCAGAACCATAACTTGTTATTATTTTTTTTTTTACAATTTGATTGCTCCCTTGTTATAGGCTTTTATTGTAAATATATTCTGATTCGTGGTTATTGTTCCTGACTCTATACGATAAAGAAAATGATGTTTAAATGATGTTTAAATTAGTTAGTACAATTTATATATAGGGGCCCGCGATTTTTCTCTCGACGGCCTTGCATGGAATACGTCCACTTAATATCGCTCTCTAGTTTCTGTAGACAATTTTGTCTGAAGTGAAGATTGGGCCTTGCCGGTGTGATTGCCCACCGATAAAATCGACCAAATTTTCAGATTGTACCAAATCACAGAATATATACGCAACACCCTCACTTCTACTTTAGAACATTTCCTGATAGTACGAAGTGTTACTATCTACGTACATATACGATCTCATGTCACAATTTGAGATATCCGTTTATCTTACACGAATATCGCTAAACCTTCAGCTCCGTTCAAATTATAAATAACTCTTCGATTCCTTTGAGACCAAAGGTGCTAGATAACGCGACTAATTTTCATGGCATCAACAGCAGGGTCGTCAACTCTGGAAATACACAAAAAGTCTTCACTTATTGAGACGCAAATCACAATTGGCAGCTATAACTTTGAGGTAGTGATAAATTTTGTACCCAGCACCGAAAATGCATGCCTGGAGATAGAGTGAAGAATAACTCTTACTAACACTATGTAATGATTTGGGCTCGGTAGGCAATCAAAAGAAGCCATACATTTGAAAGGAAATGGGAATACTTCAGGGGCTTTCGAGAGAATATTTTTGCAGGTACCATATAGAAGGTGAGATGATGAAAACTCATAGATTACTCTACCTAGGATATATTATATGCATGGGGTATGATGCGGCGGTATAATGCTTTCTCGACTTTGCTATCATAGGGGGCGAAAACGAAGGTGACCACGAATATAATGAAATACCCAAGTGTAAAATACTTATTTAAGTCAAGGAATTCGAAGGGAAAAAACCCAACCTAGTGGCATTGACATGACATAGTCGTAGTATTTAGTAAGGGGAGAGCACCTAGATACCGTTATTAATATAGGAAAAACATACCATAGAAAGTTCAAGTTCAATGTCCCGTTGTGGAGACATCCGAAATAGGTAACATCGAATTGACCTTAAGAAACCACATAAAGTATCTGGTATGTAGTAGTTTTGGTTCATCAATTTGTTTATATTCGCAATGTAGAGGAACGATTGGCGGCATAACAATACCCAATACTGGTACTTTGGTGTGGTGGCATGCAACAGTAAGTCTTCATATTGGCATATCCTGGGTTACGGATACCGAAAGATCGTATGTATGTATATCACAACTGCTATAAGGCACTGGGAAGGTGCTATATAACAGTTAAGTACAAAAATAAAAGCAAATAAAAATGGTATGGACGCGACAAAAATTGAACTTTTTTGGGATATGTCCGTATTTCGATACTATGGAGGAAGAACAGCCTGCTGTGTTGGACTCGGCCAAAATCGCTTTGGCGATTACAGCGCCAAACAAAAAGCATAAGATGAGAAATGTCAGCGTCTCGTGGCACTGTGAAGTACGAAGTGCTAAGGACCACTTCTCTAGAATATCAGTCGGGGCATATCAACCAACTTGCGGAAAAACTTTGCTGCTGAATTTGCGAAAAGATTGACAAGGAATTCCACTCAATGTGTTCGCAGATGGTTCTAAGCTATTGAGTGGACTTGCTGCTGGAATTTTCTGCCTGAAACTTAGCACCAGGGAACCCCTAAGACTAACTGATCATGGGAATATCTTTTAGGCAAACGCTTTGCTATTAGAAAAGCGCCGGGCTAGCTGGGAGCAACTCAATGAAAAGTTATACGGCGATAGGTACGTGTTTACATGAAGCAATTTTATAGGCAACTTAAGAGGCCATTAGTTGAATCAAAAGTTCATTGGAGGCGATTAGTTGAAAGGCAGTTCACACCAGGCGATTGTTGCTTTCGACTAAAAGTTGCCTCTAAAATCGGCTCATGTAAACACCGTATTAGCGACTCATGCACACAAAAAGGTATGTCATTTCCAGATTCTGCTTTTCGAGAAAGTGTCGTTTATGATGGTGCTTGTGTCGTAATTGTCAAGAATGCAATGGAATACCTTGGGGTTACTCGAAACTAGTGTTGATATCTTAACTTCAATTGGCAAGAAGCGATGACATATCAAGTTATGTTTACTTAAATTAATATGAATAAGACTATTCCTGGTATTTCTAGGCATCGATCGGATTAACCTAACCTAAGTATATAATTTGCTTTAAAAATTAAATCATGCTCCAGCTATAAATTACGTAGCTCCTAAGCATGTTGAGAACTTCAGACATGTGTGGTTAGGGAATGAAATATGTTAAAAAAATTAAATCAGAACTTAAAAGATGATATCAAAATACAAAACAAAAGCAAGAAAGATTAATTACAAAAAATACTCGAAAGATGCTAAAACAGCACAGATTTCTCGACAAACAGCTTCACCAAAACTTGGTAGTGCACCGCAAATTTTGCAGACAAACAACAAACTACACAGGTACACAGTCTAACCGCAAGTGTGGCGGCAGTTTGATCAACAGCACCACCAACCAACGACCACTATGTATAGCTTTAACTGAAAACACACCGCCGCATATAACCAGCGCATATTGTACTACATAGTATCCTGCTGCCTCGAACAAAAGCCTCTGCGGTCACGCTGCCTGCAACAACGGGACTCGGGTGCACAACTTGCTTGTTTTCCTTGTTGCTTGCTTGCAACAATCATATAGTAAAAATGTGATTGCGCGACACCTAACTCACTCCAACAATAACTGCAACAATTTATGTAAAATGCCTGCTTAGCTTAAGGCGCACCGCTCCTGTCTGTTCGCTATTATTATTATTTGACTTTTCCGAGGAACCTGTTGCCTGTTAGGCTGGTCAGACTGCTGCCACACTTCGTTGCACTTGAATTGTAAATTTTTATGTTTGTGGTCGCTGAACAGGCAATTGGTGGCGTTGGAGTTGTTAAGCA